ATACAATTATTTTTCAAATTTACCCAGCAAGTATTATATCTGATGATAAATTAAAGAATACACCAAATTCTTTACTCTGAAATTTATCTAACATTCAATCAAGATGTAGTGACAATTACTGGTGATTGGAATGAAAAAGTAAGAACAGAGAGATAGCATCAGTAGTTGGAAATACAGAGTTGGAGACAGAAATGAGGATGGAGATTGTATGATGGAATTTTGTAAGATCAAGGGCTTCTTCATTGCAAATGCCTTTTGCAACATCATATACAGTGACTATACTTGTAGGCCTTGCCAGATGTAATGCACAAGGATCAAATTTACTACGTCTCTGAGAAGAGATGATGGAGAAGCTCAATATCATCAGTCCAAACAAGGCCAAGGGTTGACTGTGGAACAAATATCAATTGCTTATACCCAAGTTTAGATTCAAATTGAATAAGATGAAAACAATTCCAGCAGATTCCAATTACCACTTTATTCCCACCTAAGTTTACAGACCATTTCAAGAACATATTTGATGCATTATACACTAAAGTCATTGAACAGATGAATTATGGGATCACATGAGCAAAACACATTAAGAAAGCAAAGTGTCTTTTAAAGACAGTAATGAAAGTGGGAGAGTAAAAATGAGGACAATCTGTGAGAAGCTGGAGTGGCACAGTAGCTGCATCAATGCATTCAAATAAAAAAATTCTGAGGATGGCACAGGACAAGGCAGGGTTTCGTTCTCTTGTACCTCAGGCACTATGGGTTGGAACCGACTCAACAGCACCTAACAGCAACAACAAAGAAAGAAGAGACCAACGTGGATGTCAAAAAGATTCTGAAGCTTGCTCTTGGAAATAGGGAAGCTAAAGAAAATGAAAGACATGAAGTAAATTAAATAGAACAATTTTAAACCTGAGAAGACAATATAAAATATTATAATGAAAAGTGCAAAGATGGTGTTAAAACACTAAAAAAGGAGAACATGCTCAGCATATTTCAATCTAACAAATGAAGGAAAAATTGAAATCTGGAGTTGCAATATTGAATGATTCGATGGGCAAAATATTGAGTGATTCAGGAAGCATCAAAAGAAGACGATTTGCTACAGTCAGTACCACAAAAAACTGGTTGTCATTAAACTGTTTCAAAAGGAAGTATTTGTTTAAGAACCAATGGTATTGGAGGAAGAAACTCAAGCTGCACCAAAGGGATAGTGAATTGGTAAACATAAATTGAAATAGTTCAACAAGTTGATGAAACACAGGAAGTACTCTCTATGCGAAGAAGTTTGAAGGGCAGCTAACTGGTCAACTGATTTGGAGAGATCCATGTTTGTGCCCATTTCAAAGAAAGATGACCCGAATGAATGTGGAGATTATTGGACAGTATAATTTCTGTCACATGTGTGTGAACTTTGGCTGAAGATATCTCAACAACTGTTCCAGCAGTACAGCCACGAGGACCTGTCAGAAATTCAAGCCAGATTAGAAGAGGACTTGTCATAAGGATATCATGGACGATCTCAGAAAGATTTGGGGTGAAACAGAGGATAACCAGAAATCTGTCACTTGGTGCTTTATTGACTGTGTAAGAGCATTGGATTGTATGGGTCATAACAAGATATGGGAAGCATTTTGAATAATGGATATTCCAGAACTCTTAATATAGCATTCATGCAGAACATGTACACAGACTGAGTGAGATGCACATGTTCTAATAGAACAAGACATAACTGTATAGATTAAAATTAGAGTAGGTGTGTTAACCTGTATCTTGAGCAAATTATCTGAGGAGATGGACTATATAAAGAGAAATACAGCATCAGGAATTAAGGAATAATTTTTAACAGCCTGCGTTCTATAGATGATACAGCCTTGCTTGCTAAAGAGGACTTGAAGTATTTACTGATGAAGAACAAAAACTATAGACTTCAGAATTTGTTGCAGAAATCCTCAAACTGAGCCATTAAAAAACACCATGGTAAAAAGAGAAAAGGCAAAAATGTTCAAGAACCTTTTCACATTTTCAAGGATTGACTTTACTTGTCAGTTATCAGTGCTCATGGAAGCAGTTTTCAGGAAATCAGTTTGTTTTTTTTTAGATTTGTATATCTAATTTTATTGTCATGTTAATAAATATGTCATAAATTAATTGTTTATCTAATTAATTTTCACATTAATAAATACGTCATATGTTATAAATATTAAACCAGTATTTTACTAATAATTTTTACGATAATCACTGAATTATGAAATAAATTTATCCATGTCTGAAATTGGACCCATTATATCAATTTTTCTTGGGATAATACACAGTAATGTACTGTTTCAATATGTACCATGAATGAATATCTAAATTATTTGCATCCTAGAAAATGGTCCAGATTGTTTATCCTTTGTTTTTTAATTTTTTCAAATACTTTTATTGGGGGCTCTTACATCTCTTATCACACTCCATACCAGAAAGTGTTTTTTATTGGACAAATGGCAAGCAAAAAGGCTGCTTTAAAGTGTGAAAGAGCAAAGATCTCACTGAGAAATAAGGTGAACCTGATACAGGCAATGGCATTTTGTCACTTCATATACAAGTGAAAGATTATCAATATATAAGAAAGATCAAAGAATAATGGGTGCCTTTAAATTATAATATTGGAGAACAATATTGAAAATAACATGGGCTGCCGGAAAATCAAACAAATCAGTCTTAGGGGAAGTATAGCCTGAGCACTTCTTAGAAGCAAGGGTGATGAAACTCATCTAATTTTGATATGTTATCAGGAGAGACCACTCTATGGAAAAGAATACTATCTTTGGCCAAGTAGAAGGATCAGAAGAATGAGGAGAACCCTTCCTTAAGGAGATGACTTGACATAATGACCGCAACAATTAGCTCTAATGTTGCAACAATGATGAAGATGACATGTGCTAGGGTAGTGTGTTGTTCTACTGTATGGTACCTAAAAACAACATGTAGTATTTTATAGTATTGGGCTTAGAAGCATGAAAGCAATATTTTTCTCATTTACAAAGTATTTTACATTTTGAATTAAATAGTGGCATTTAGTACCCTGTCATAAAACTGATGTTTGGTTAATGATTTTGGTTCCAGTTTCAGAAGGCTATATCTAATATGTAGCATTTCTTGTTTAATAGAAATTAATGTAAGTTTAACCTAGGTTTTAAGATCACCAGAAAGCAGATATAGGTGAATGTGATCATGCCAGTTTAGTAAGAAGAGCAACAAGTTTTTTTTCCAGCATAACATTACAAAAAATGCCGCCTGAGAAATATTTTATTTTTAGTGCTACCATAATGTTTTCATGTGTTTGTATGCAATAATAAAAGGAGAAGGAAGGAGTTTTACTATTTATCAAGATTATGTATGAAATCCTCTTTTTATGACATTCAACCTTACCTATGTTTATATTTTGATAATTAATTATTAGTTACTGATATTACCTGTACTGCTCTTTTTCTTGGAATCTGATTCTTCAAAGACAGTCTGAATTCTCAAAATAACTTCTAACATCATGGCCTATGAGTAGCCATAGCCACTGCCTTGAAATAGAGTTTTCCTTATTTTCTCATTGGTTTAAGTTTTAAACTATTATAGCTACTTATGGAAATTTCTAATCCTGCCTTAAAACTGAGGTATTTTTCATAATTCAAACATACAGTTACCCTAGATAAAAATAAACAACATAGAATAGGATTAACAGCTATGGTGGCATAGTGGATCACGCATTGAGCAGCTAATCCAAGTTCAATAGTTTGAACCCACTAGCAGATCCAAGGATGGAAGATGAGACTGTTTATATCTATAAGGATTTAACGTCTTTGGGAAACTATGGTCGCAGTTCTACTCTGTATTAAAGGGTTGCTATGGGTTGGGAATTGACATGATGACAGTGAATTTGGTTTTTGTGGAACCGGGTTTAATGGACATCTCTACGGTTGATTAGCTCATCATTTCCAAATTAAAGATTAAGTCAATTATTAAAGATTTTAAGGGTGATATTATATGCAATTTATTAGCAAGTTAAAACAAAATATTTTGATTGGTTGATGATTCTTTGAGAATATGCAAATTTTATAAGTGAGCAGAATGGGCTCAAACATAAAGGATTTGAAAAATAGCAACTTTTCTGAGATAATCACAAGAGCAGCAAGCCATGATTTGAAGACATCAGGAGGTTGGAAAGAGGACATACTCATTAATCTTCTATTGTTTCCTGAAACAATGCATTTCAAGTGTTTTGGTAGCCTGATCACATAATTATAAGAAACTAGGCAAGCTATTCTAAAAGTCGTAGTTCAAAGCATCGGTGTAAAACTCAACATCATAGCTAACCAGTCCATTCTGAGTCAGAAGGATCATTTTGGACAAGACCTGCCTCTTTTGGTTTTTGAGGCTGTAAATCTTTCGGAGAGCAGATGGCCTCGTCTTTCTCTCACCGAATGGCTGCTCACCTTGCAGTGTGCCACCCAACTGACATAAGCCTACTGTGCAAACAGGACTCCTTCAACATCGCTACAGGCATTGCATCAACATAGGAAAGCATTCTGTTTTCATACAGCAAAGCTTGTCATTTTGTTTCATGACTATAAGCCCAACCCGAGGATTTTATTCTAACTGTAATGACCCCATGTGTGCAGAGAACTGCTCCATAGGGTTTTCAGGTCACTGATTCTTAGAAGCAGACCACCAGGGCTTGCAAGGTGCCTCTGAATGGATTTGAACCACCAACACTTGGTATTTGAGCACTTAACTATTTGCACCACTCAGGAACATGCTATCTCACTGGTATGCTTTAAAAGACCTGATGTTATTTTTGTTTGTAGCTTACCTCTGTGCTGGAAAGTTCTTACCATATTACTGCGCTCTACTTAATGATTGATTGGTTTCATCTTTTATGGACATTCCATATGTATATACTTTTTCGTTGAGGGTGGTTGTTTACCCATTTTTATCCTATTTTCCCCATTTCTACCCATTCCTCATCTTAGGCTTTCCCACCTTCTGAGGCACGGCCATAAGCACTGCGCGGTTTCCCACCACCACCACTGGTGAATGCCCTCAGCCTGCACCCAGCTCAGCCATAATGGGGACAGCTCAGGTACTGTGTGATCGCCCTCTTCTCTCTTTCCTTCATTGTTCACTTGTGCAGCCACTTACCAAGTACTTATTTATTTCTTGTCTATTCTGGGGGTAGTCTGCCACAGACTAGGGGTACAGAGAGGGAAGAGGACACAGTTCGCTCCCCCTTGGAGTTGACAGCCTACCTGGGAGAGAAATCTGCAAACTACTATTTATAACGAACTATGGATAAGTATTCTGATTTATACAAATAGAAAATGTTGTGAAACCTTCTTGTATTTTTACGTGAAGACATTTCTTTTATTTATTTATTTATTTTAATGTTTTATTAGGGGCTCATACAACTCTTATCACAATCCATACATACATCAATTGTGTAAAGCACATTTGTACATTCATTGCCCTCATCATTCTCAAAACATTTGTTCTCCACTTAAGCCCCTGGCATCAGGTCCTCATTTTTCCCCTCCCTCCCAGCTCCCCCTTCCCTCATGAACCCTTGATAATTTATAAGTAATTATTTTTTCATATCTTTCCCTGTCCAACATCTCCCTTCACCCACTTTTCTGTTGTCCAACCCCCAGGGAGGAGGTCACATGTAGATTCCTATAATCAGTTTCCCCTTTCCAACCCACCCTCCCACCACCCTCCCAATCTCACCACTGGTCCTGAGGGGATCATCTGCCCTGGATTCCCTGTGTTTCCAGTTCCTATCTGTACCAGTGTACATCCTCTGGTCTAGCCAGATTTGTAAGGTAGAATTGGCATCATGATCGTGGTGGAGGAGGGAGCATTTAGGAACTAGAGGAAAGTTGTATGTTTCATTGTTGCTACATCACACCCTGACTGGCTTGTCTCCTCCCTGAGACCCTTCTTTAAGAGGATGTCCAGTGGCCTACAAATGGGCTTTGGGTCTCCACTCTGCACTCCCCGCCTCATTCACTATGATAAGATTTTTTGTTCTGATGATGCCTGCCTGATACCTGATCCCTTCAACACCTCGTGATCTCTGAGGCTGATGTGCTTCTTCCATGTGGACTTTGTTGCTTCTGAGCTAGATGGATGCTTGTTTACCTTCAAGCCTTTAAGACCTCAGACGCTATATCTTTTGATAGCCGGGCATCATCAGCTTTTTTCGCCAAATTTTACATGAAGATATCTTTAATATATTAAATATATTTAATATATTCAAATGGCTAGACAAGAGGATGTACACTGGTACAGATCAGAGCTGGAAATGCAGGGAATCCCAGACAGATAAACCCCTCAGGACCAATAATGAGAGAAGTGATACCAGGAGGATAAGGAGAAGGTGGGGGGGAGGAAGGGGAACCGATTACAATGGTGTACAGATAATCCCCTCCCAGGGGAATGGACAAAAGAAAAGTGGGTGAAGGGAGACTTCGGACATGACAAAATAAGAATAATTTATAAAGTATCAAGGATTCGTGAGGAAAGGAGAATGAGGGAGGGAGGGGGAAAATGAGGAGCTGATAACAAATGCTCAAGTAGAAAGAAAATGGTTTGAGAATATTGATGGCAACAAATGTACAAATGTGCTTGACACAATGGATATATATATGGATTGTGCTGAGTTGTACGAGCCCCCAATAAAATGATTTAAAAATAAATATATTCAATTGTTTTTTAAAGAAATGTTTATTGTGGTTTTAATGAATGTGTACAGAACAAAATTGTGTTCCATTCAACAATTCATACTCGCTTTGTTTCAAGAGACATTGGTTGCCATTCTTTCAGTAACAACACTTTTTTCACGCTCTCTCTGGTTTTCTCGTTCCCACTGCTTTGCTTTCCTGCCCCTTTTGACTTTCTCAAAAGTGCTGCCCACTATGGTTGATTACACAGAAAATGTTTCCTCCCGGGTTCTGTTATTCACTTTATTGACCTGTCTATTGGTTAGCTGAAAATTGACCATTATTCAGTTACAGCTTTTGAGTATCTCAGATCACTGATGATGTAGTGGGTTACTCTGGGCTACAAACCACAGGCCAGCAGTTTTAACACACCAGCCATGCTGTGTGGAAAGAGGAACCTTCCTGCTCCTGAACACATGCACAACCCCGGACCCCTACAAGGGCTGCTGTGCTCGATCCTTCCGGTCACTGTGAGTCACAATCGACTCAGTGGCAGAGTTTGGTTGCTTTTGGAAGGCTCACAGTCTTGAGGAAAGCACTAGTCCATCAGCCAGCAAGTCTGGTCTTTTAAAATTATTTTTTATTCTATTCCAACTCTTTCCCCCTAGTTTTCCATATTCTGTGTAGGATCTTTTGTGATCCCTTCCCAAGTGGTCAGTAGTGGCAGCTGTGTACCATTATGTTTTTCTGGTCTCTGATTTGTATGAATCATTGTCTTTGAGATAATTAATTTCTTGGGTATTTGATTTTATTTACTTTTTGAAGTGTTTGTGTTTAGATCTTATTTGCGAAACTGGTGAGGGACATTCAGGGAAGTATATCAGTAAACTGATGTTCAAATTATGGTATTGGCTGATTTCACATTACCTGTGTTGTTAACTATGACCTGCTTAAGGAAGTAAATCTGTACCCAAAGGCTGGAGATGATAACTGGAAATTCAACCAAAATATTCTAAATAATGGACGGTTTCTAATAAATTTCTAAATTGTTTTATTGCTGTTTTTAAAATGCATGTGCTCTGGTGGCTGGTAGCTTTTCAGAGCATCATAATATTTTCCCCAACTTAGTAGGATATCTGAGAGTGACATTGTAACTTTTTCCATGGACAAGTAGAAGAATTGGCAAAATTAGTCTTGAAGGAAATACAACAAAAATGCTCCTTATAAGAGAAGATGATGAGGCTTGCATTGGACACATAATAATGAAAGATTAATTGCTAGAAACCGACATCAGTTGGTAAAATAGAAGGTCAGAGAAAATTAGTGAAATCCTCCATGAGATACATTGACACAATAGTGACCACCAGTTCTGAAAAGAGTGTAGGACTGAGCAGCATTTCATTCTGTTATATATAAATAAGGCTGCCATGGCTCAGGACTGACTCAAATAATAACTAACTTTCTCCAGTTCCATTGAGTAAATTAAATATTTACTTGAAGACTTCATAAGGCTATTTTGTTTAAAATTTCAAAGGAAAGAGATAATTATTTATTTATAAGATATGAGTACTTAAGTGAATATTTGGAAAATGTTAAAATGTCATTCAGTGCTGCTACCTGGTAGTAGTAGTCTTTTCTGCTAATTTCCTTTATTTCCTGGCACATCTAACTCTGTGGCAGATGTTTGTTCTCAGTGTTCTGAGGCTTTCTTTACCTACTTGACAGTCTCAGAACAGGATGTCAGCTCAAGATGTCAGTCAACGTTTCCGTAGTCAGGAACATCATTGTTCTTTTGCCAGGACTTTTGCAGGGTCGCTAAAAACCTTTGTTGAGATTTAAGACAGGCACTTTTTCTTTTTTTTTTTTCATTTTAAAATTAAATTTACTACCAATTCTGCAGTATCCCTGTTCTGTGCTCTTATCAAATCCTCAAGAATATTCCCTGCAGGTAGCAAGGGGCAACTGCTTTCTTGGCCCATGTATTCACTTGGGTTATTAATTTCAGAGAACAAAATTCATTCTGGCTAGTGTAGGCAAAAAAGGAATTTATTACAATAGATATTAGATACTTTATAGACCTTTCAAGAGGGCTAGATAGAGTGATTTCATGCTAGATTTGTATCAGTATCAGTAGAGAACTAGCACGATGCAGAAACAGCTCCTGTTACATCTGCTGCTGCCTGAGACAACATCACCACACAGAACTTTACATAATGTTGCTCACTTTGCAAGCAGGGCAATGTTGGACTGGCAGGAGCTAGGGCCCATGCTATATGTAGCTGCCAGGAAGGTTGAATAATTAATTCTTTTGTCTTTGTGTTAAGCTTTGGAAAGGGTTTCACTGACAACATAAGAAGATGTCAAAAGTGTAAAGAAGTTATTAAAAAATGTTGGGTGCTTGTTGCTGTTGCTATGGCCATTGCGTCAGTTCTGACTCATAGCCATTCCAGGTACAACATCAAGAAACCCTGCCCGCCCGGCTCCATCCTCACAATTGGGCCTATGACTGAGCTCATTGTTGCAGGTACTAAAAATGTTGGGTATCTATAGATAAATAATATCCACTATATTCTGCCACTTGGATGCCCACCAAATGACATTATTCTTTCATCCTTCTGTTGCCAACCAAGAATAGTAGGTGCCATTTTCCCAATTAGATGCGGCTATTCCTAATAAAATGAATAAAACAAAGGAGAACAAAATAAAAACTTGCCTTTACCCTAAAACAGAAGGTAACATATGCCATTAATTATATGAAGGCCTTTCTGAAAGTGTATGGAAAAGTTCCATTATCTTCTAATTCAGTTTTTCCATGAATTTTTTAACCCCTGTGTATGCCATAGTAAAGAAAAAATATGGGTAACTAATAGACTTTACACACACACACACACACACACACACACACACACTCACACACACACACTCTCTTCTAGGAGGCTTGGTAACACAGTGGAATACATATATCTGAAGCAGTGGTGGTTCAGTGGTTGAATTCTGGCCTTCCAAGCGGTAGACCCAGTTTTCCTTTCGGTCAGTGTACCTCAGGTGTAGCCACCCTTTGTCAGTGGAGGCTCATGGAGTGCTATCATGCATAAAAGATTTCGGCAAAACTTCCAGATTCTAGGGACAGGGAAGAAAGGCTTGATGATGAGCCACTGAAAACCTTATGGGTCAAATCCACAAGTAATCAAGGGAATGGCGCAGGACCCGGCAGCATCTACTTTCCTTGTGCATGGAGTCTCCGTGGATCGCGGCCTACTGGACAAGAGCTGCTGTGCAGCTGATCCTGTATTTTAATTTATGGCTTCTTCCTCCACTTCCTATTCAATGTTTCCTTGTCTTTTGTGGAGAAGTTTAGCTAGTTTAGGCTGTTTACTAGCTGGGTAAAGATGATGATGGAAGGCTTCGTTCCTCAGAAATCTGA